TTTTTTTTTTTTTTTTTTGATAGATTTTGGAATAATTTGAATTAAGGACAATTTAAGAGTTGGAAGTTGGGGTCGATGAGGGGTGAGTGAAGTATTAAATTTATTATAATTCATTGAGATTAAAAATCGAACTTATTTGTTTTGTTCTTTTTTTCTCTCTTTTTCTTGTTAATTTTAAGAATTTTTTTTTTCAAATTGGAAATTGGATTGTTATGATGAGGCAGGGATGAATTTTTAATTTTTTCTCTGGGATTGATCAAAATCGAAAATGTCTATTGATATTACGTTTTTTTTTTTTGGTAGATTTACGATACTTGAAACGTTTTTTGAAATTGAGATTACAGGTCACGTGTATATTTTTGAAATTAATTAAATTCGAAAGTCTCTTTATTTTTTTTTTCTTTTTTTTTTATGCGTTGATTTTTAGGTGGAATTGGAAAATGAAATTGAGATTACGTAGAGATTCAAAAGATTTAAAAAAAATAAATTTGACAATAAAATTTCATCGGGGAATTTAAAAAGAATGTTTCTGACGATGAAAGATTTTTTTTTTTTCATCAGATTTTCACAAAATTGGAATATTAAAAAGTTCATGTGCCAGAAAATATAAATAATTTATTTTACAATTTAATTTAAAATTCAAATTCAAATTATTTTTTATTCAATATATTTTATATTTTATTCAATCAAATTATATTATTGTTAATATTCATTTTAGAATTGACGATTAATTATTATTTAATAGATTAAAATTAATAGGTAAAAATTATTTAAAGAACATATCCAGTCTTTGCTGGATTATTTACTTCAAATCTGGAGTAAATTTGAGATCAGAGAGATGAAATAGTAACTACAGTACTTACTTTTCATTTCGTGATTAAATTGGACGTAATTTCTTATACCTTCCTGCTTGTTTCAACTTTTATTTGCAAAGTACCGTGTTTGAACTTTCCTTGGAATATATTTGGCTGGTGATATAACTTTGTCCGAATAACCATTCTACTTTTTCCTTCCTTCTTTCTTTTCTCATTTCTAGAGATAATAATCTAACTTTTATTCATTTATAAAAATTTCTTTTCCTCGTTTTTTTTTATGTTATAATATTGTTACTATTGTGACTAACATTTTTAAAATTTAAAATGACAATATTCAACAATTTTCAAGAATTCAAAATTTTCAACATTTAAACAATGAAAAAAATTCGATCATTAAAAATCAATGTTACATTTTTTTAAATTCTCTCAAAATTTTCAAAATTTCAAAAAAATTGCAACATTCAAACATTCAAACTTTCAGAAACAAAATACTTTCACTGTTTAATGTTCTGAAATATTTAGAATATTTAAATTTTTTTAAACTTCCAACTTTTCGAATTTGGATTTATAATTAATCCTTCACAGATGTTTTTTAGCTGATTATTTAAATTTAAACCGGCATCGACCGAGTGGAACATTCAACTTAATGAGTCCCCATAGTATCTCGCTATCTCTCTAGAATTCGAATGTCCCTTCGATGTGCACAGTATCGTGGAATCTTGATTCCAAAATGCAAATTAGAACATCATTGCTTGAAACCAATCTGATAATACTCTGAAAAGATGAATTTAGTCGCTTGAAAAGAAGAGATAAAGGAGAGAATTCAAGATGATGGCCGTTGATATAAAATGGCGGTTGTTAGATTTCTAACTTCTTCTTTTGAAATGAAAATTTCTTTTTCCTTCTTTCTGATAATATTTATTATACTAATCGAAGTGAAAATTTTAATAATTTTATAATTAATTTCAAATATTTTATTTATCACGATTAAATTATTTTTAAATTTGTTAAAAATTAATATCTTTAATTTTGATATTTGAAGTATTTTTGATAAAATAAAATCAATTGTTGTTGTTACAACAAATATTTAAATATCGTGTTTATCTAATTTAAGGATTACTTTTTCAATAAATTTCGAATTTATTCGTGATAGGAATAAGCTATAGTTTCATTCCTGATAAGATTATTGATATAATAAAATCCACAGCCAGATAGAAATCAATCATCCTGTTCATAAAATTCTTCAGTCTGAAATTCTATAAACGTCTCTTCAATTAATCAGATGGTCAAGCATCATCAAAAATTGTCATTTAAAAACGTTAATTAATTTGCCTTCAATATTTTTCGTCAAAAGATCTAAAAATATATATATATTTATTTGTACTTCTCTAATTTATTTTTTTAATTTTAATTTGTTTCTTAAACTAAAAACTATATCTATTTCTTTATATATATTTTTAAAATTGTTATTAAATTTTTATCAATAGAATTATGATATAAAATGAAAAAAAAAAATAAGAAACTTTTAAAAATCAAAGTTAAAAATTATTTAAATCAATTATTCTACTAAACTTGATGTTTGATCTAGCAGAATAATCAACTGAGAAATTGCATATTTGAAATTGCCACGGTTCATAAAAGAACGAAAAAAATATTTAATCGTCGTCAAAGGAAATAAATTGCCACGAAAATACGAGCTTTGACCGACAAAGTTGTCGGTTGAAATCAAAAGTTTGCAATCCTCTTTTTGAAACATCCGGTATAAGCAAAGTCGCCAATGAATGAACATGCCATTGTGGTGAAAAAAAAAAAAAAAAAATAAATAAAATAAAACCTAAGCGGACAATTTCGCAAAAGCTGCTTTCGAGGTACAAAAATCATCGTTTAAATAAAAATTGTACATTTTTGATCCGGAATTTAAAAGAAAGTATTGATTGGCAAAAATTCTAAAAATTCTAAAAATTTCTTTAAAAATTATTACAATAAAAATTTTAATACAAATTTTCACTCATCGAATCATATTTTATGATAAATATTTTTCCCAGAATAATAATTTCACTCGTAACAATAAAAATTCTCTATATTTGAGCTAATTAGCGCATTCTGAAAAGAAAATTATTTCAGATATTAATCCTGTGTAATATTCTGATGAATTTTTTGAAAATTTTCCTTGGAAAGATGATTTCGAAAATTTCGTTTGATTCGGTAATTAATTTAATTTAGACGGTATAGATGGCTCTACTGTGATTCTTAAACAAAGATTCTCACAGCTTAACCAGAAGTTGCCTGTTTTTTCTTTTTTCACAGGTTTTTCTAAAGCCATATTTTCCGCGTGCGCATTAGCGCGAGAGCTTTTTTGACGAGAAAAAAACAACCCTTTCTGAAGCTGTTTTTGTCACTGTTATTTTTTTTTTATCTTCGTTTTATTCATAATCTTCTTTTCTATCCCTTGCTTTTTCGGTTAAACAATAAGTACAACGTGACTGGACCACACTGGACAGAGACACTTTACTCAATATCCGCCAAAGAATTTTTTTCTGCAGATTATATTATAATCCTATACATTAGATTTACTGCACGTAGATTTTCACAAGTTCTATTCTAATATCATTTTTTCAATCGTGAAAATTAGGTTTGTTAACGCGAATTTTATTTATAACTAATGAAAAATGAAAATTATTTCTATTCGATAAAATTTCGTTTCGAATGGAATTAGCGTGAGAGAGTTTTATTTTAACGTTAATTTTTTTGGAAAATTATTTTTATTATATACAGTAGACGAACATCCATTGTTGATGGATCGAAACGAAAAGAATTAAATTGTACAATTGTGATGAATTTTCGTAATTACAAAACTGTTTTCTCCTCTGAAACGAGGAATGTGTGATATATAACATAAAAACGGCTTGTTTCCATTGCAATTTTTCTGTATTATTAAAAGAAGAAAGAAAAATCATTTTATTCATTTTTGTAACGAAATCAAAAACGCTTATACAAATTCCACCATTATATAATATATTTATAAACGAAGTTGCAAGTGGATCTTTTAATTTAACTCGTTTGTTTCACGACGAGCAGTTTATTCACAATTCACATTTTTTCCAAAAATCGAAAAATGCGAAATTTAAAAATTTATTATTTTATAAAGAATTTTTAAATTATCGTGTTTGACCAATAAACGAAGTGTAAATAAAAATATCTGGCTTTAATTCCAAAAAAAAAAAAAGAAAAAAAAGAATATAAAATAGAAAATTAGGAAAAACAGGAAAATTTATATTTTGGCATAAGCTTCGCAAAATTTTTCTCTTATCTTCTCAAAAAGTGTGAACAATGCAAAAACAAAGATAATAG